GAGCACAGGCCCTGGAGTCAGGAGGACCTGAGTTCAAATCTGGCCTCAGACCAAACATTTGACACTTACTAGCTGTGTGATCCTGGGCAAGTCACTTAACCCCGACTGCCTAAAAAACAAAACAAAACAAACAAACAAAAAAGCCACAAAGTGCATCAATATGCAGTCAAGTCTCCATAATTAGGATGCTGCAGAAGGGATTCTCAGTCAGCTATAAGTTGGACTGTATAGCCTCTGAGGCTCCTTCCAACTCTGTGATTCTGTGATTCTTCGATCTACAAAAATGGAAAAGACCAGTAGCAGGGACAATCTGATCTAAGCAGTTAGATGCCAAGAGGCATTTATATTTGGCTTTGGAATACATTATAGGATTTTCTTACAGCAGATCTGCCTTTCTAATTATGTTTTGCTTAGGATAACATTAACATGAGGTTGCATTCCTTGAACATTCACCAGCTGGACTGTGGAGGTAGACAGTCTGGGACTGGGTGTGGTGACAAAGAGAAGCTGGCCCGTGATTAAAAATTCATAGCTAATCCACATGTGAATAATCAAAAATCTAGAATATCTCCTATAGGCACTATATTTCCATTCTTGTTACTTTTTTATCTTCTGATGCCAGGACATAACAAATATACCCTAAATAAGCAGCTAAAATATCGATAGTCATCTTTAAGAGGCAAGCCTGAGTATACTCTGATGTGTTGAAAGATTCATGATTTCATCAGCATGAGTCCTCACCCCATGCCTTTACCCTCAAGGGTAATTCTTATTCATATATCCAGTACAATAAGTAAAATTCTCCTTTAATATCATGGAGTTGCCAGTGTGCCACTTGGGGCCACCCGTCTATTGCTTTTTGTTCCCAGGCTGTTCCTATTCCTGGAGTGCACTCTCTCCTCAGCTCTGCTGCTTAGAATCCCTAGATCCTTAGAATTTCTTTAAACTCTGCTTATATACAAGGCCTCTTTCAGCTGCCTCCAATCTCAATTTGTTGTTGTTTAGTCATTTTTCAGTTGCGTCTGACTTTTCTTGACTCCTTTTGGAGTTTTCTTGGCAAAGATACTGGAATGATTTTCCATTTCCTTCTCCAGCTCATTTTACAGCTGAGGAAACTGAGGCTAACAGGGTTAAATGACTTGCCCAGAGTCACACAGCTAGTAAGTGAGGACAGATTTGAACTCAGGAAGACTCATCTTCCTATCTCCAGTCCTGGTAATCTATCCACTATGCTCCCTAGCTGCCCCCATCCTCAATTACCTTGTATATAATACTTTTATTTTGTTTATATCTTATAGATATATGTATAGATACATATAGATATATGTACATATGTATGAGTATATGTGTATCTCTATATGTGTATATATATGTGTGTGTCTATGTATATATACACACACATATATATATATATATATATATATATATGTGTGTATATATATATATAGACACACACATATATATGTTCCCTCTAATAGAATGGAAGCTCCTTGAGTACAAGGATTTTTTTCATTTCTGTCTTTGAATCCTCGTGCTCAACACATGGTAGACACTTAATAAATGTTTGTTGACTGATTGATTCTCAATACATGAACACCACTGAGAGCATCTTCTGTGAAACATGAGAAGAGACCAGGTTAGCTTTCACTAGCAGTTTTCTCTAGTAGACTGATAACACTTTTATGGTCAATTAGTCTTAAGTATATCAGAATTACACTCACATCAAAATATGGCCCTTCCGGTATTCAGGATTTGGTTTTTCTTTAACTCTCTGAGTTGAATTTTTCTCTCTTATAAGAGGGGATTTAGTAGGTGAGGATAAAAAATAGGGTGGAGGCAGATGCTCTGCCCTACATTTACATGACTATTTATCAGGCTGTCAGCTCAACTTGGCACAGACATTTTCACATTTGAAATGTGTTGGCAGAGTTGGGAGGGGGCCTAGAACATGGTAGCACAGGGTGTTACCCAGCTGGTGTCATGATATGGACTAAATCTAATTTGGGATTTGGCAAGTTCCAAATCACAATCTTCCAATCACAATCTTCAATCTAGACTGGAATAAAGTTTGAAACAATTCATAGTATTCATGTTTGATAACAAGGATGAGAATGGTGAGGTGGTGGTAGAGTTTTATAATGGAGATGATCCTTTTCTGATCTTCTGTTCTTCCTTTGATCAATGAAGTCACAGAGGGATACACAATGAAGGGAAGAAGTGTTTCATTTTATTTTATTTTTCTCTGAGTCTGATAGATTTCTTCTAAGCCTGGCTAAATCCAAGTCAATATATAAGCCTTGATATAATGACTTCACTGCAAAAGGTAGGCACAGAGGAGTATGGCAAAACAGATATTGGAAAATGTGGTTCAGGATTAAGAAACTAAAGACAAAAAGCTATATCATTGATTATTCATAAGTCTCATGCTCATGTACCATAAATAGCCATCAAAAAGAGAGTTGGAGGGTACTACATATAGTAAACACTGAACAATATAACTTTTTCCCCTCCAAATAACTTTATTTTTTCTTTGTTTTTAAAAAATAATATTTTATTTCCCTCCAGTTACATATAAAGAAAATTTTTAACATTCATTTTTAAATGATTCTGAGTTCCAAATTTTTTCTCTCTCTCCCTTCCCTTCCCCCTCTGTGAGACAGTAAGCAATTTGATATAGGTTATACAAGTTCAATCATGCAAAACATATTACCATATTAGTCATGTTGTGAAAGACACAGATCTAAAGGGAAAAAAATCCAGAAAAAAATCCAGAAAGTGAAAAATAGTGTGCTTCAATCTGCATTCCGACTCCAGCAATTCTTTCTCTGGAAGTGGTTAGCATTTTTCATCTTGGCTTTATTTATTTGTTTGTTTGTTTATTGTTGTATTGCTGAGAATAGCTGTCATTCACAGTTGATCATCATGCAGTATTGCTGTCACCATGTACAGTGTTCACCTAGTTCTGCTCACTTCACTTTGCGTCAGTACACATAAGTCTTTCCAGGTTTTCTAAAGCCATCCTGCTCATCCTTTCTTACAGCACAGTAATATTCCATTACAATCATATACCGCAATTTGTTCAGCCATTTCCTGATTGATGGGGACAATATCACCTTTAAAAATGAAATTAACTATTTTAACAGGAAATGACTGCTTTCCTAGGACATGTGGGACTCATTTCCAAACCAGATACAGGGTCAAGTCAGATGATCAACAAAGATAGAAAAAAAAAATAGAATCAACACCAAATTAGGAGAAAGACTAAAGATGAGAAGGTACTTCAGGCAATCAAAACAACTCCAAAGGAAACTAAAGGAGCTGCTAAGGGACTGACACATAGTTAGAATTCCAAATATTGACTCTGAATTTCACTATTCCTTAGGAAAGTTTACTGAAGTAAGAGTCACCACAAAGAAGACGCCAACAGAGCCCAGAAACTGCCTCTTGACCTCCTCAGCAACGTGGAGAGTTATGTGGAGAGAATTGTAAATTCAATTTCAAAACACTTTGGAAGGAGAGGGCAGCTAGGTGGCACAGTGGATAGAGCACCGGCCTTAGAGTCAGGAGGACTTGAGTTCAAATTCAGCCTCAGACACATGACACCTACCCTGGGCAGGTCACTTAACCCTGCTGCCTAGCAAAACAAAACAAAACAAAACAAAATACATTGGAGGAAAATGGTAGAAGAGTATGATCAATATCATCTCACAAAAAAACTGTAGGTAAAACATTAAGCCTGCAGAAAGCTTGACATGGGACCTGACTAAACCAGGTCATCCCAAAAGCATTTAGAGATTAAACTGGAGGGACAATGTTTTAATGGTCCATTATCACCTTTCCCACCCTGGATCCCAACCAATCCACACTTTCTAATCCCATGTGATTCTAGTCAATCTCCTTCCACAAATTCTCCATAAAGGATCTAACTGGAGGCATCTGTTTGGGTTGATGCCAGTGCAACACTATGATTGTCCATGTGTTAACCTCCATTCTCACTGCATCTCTAGTCTATCTCTTTTTCTTATGATACATATCATGAATAGTGTCCATATGCCAATTTTTTCTCTGCAAAGGAGAGCATTACTATCTTAACAAGGAAGTTTTGAACTAATAATAATAATAATAATAATAATAATAATAATAACTAGCTTTCATATAGTACCTTAAGATTTTCAAAGTTACATATTTACATATTATCTCATTGGACTCTCACAAAAATTCCATGAGGTAGGTACTATTATTATTCCCCATTTTACAGTTGGGGAAACTGAGGCTAAGAAACTGAAGAGTTGTTACTAATTGTGACAATGAGGCAAGATATGAGCTCAGGTCTTCCTGACTCCAGATCTATCACTATATGCACACTGCTACCTAATGCCTAATAATAATTGCTTTGCAAAACACCTATACATTGCTTCCTTTAAACACCAGTAAACCCTATGAAGTTCCTCTCTGTCTCTTCAGTAGCAACAGGCTGCCATTTTAATGAAAATGATATATAATCTAGGAATGTCTATGTTCCTTCAGTCTCATTAAAGTGGAATTCTATCTTTGTATATCTATAGTGCATAGCTGTAGGAATAAAATCAGAGATCAGAATTCCAAAATCTGATTTTAGCTAATGGAGATTGGTTTTCGGCTTCTGAACTCAGCTGTGATGTTAATAAACAACTCTTATGCCCCACATGCTTTTCCCTCCTCCAGCCCTGCATCCTCCTCCTCTCTCTTTCCTCCTTCTCATAATTAAAGCCTGTACAGCAGCCTCTATGGTGCAGCTGTGTAGTTAGAGGCTGTCAGCATTTCTCTTATGGGAAGGTAGATCTCAGTGGGTCAACCACCACAGAGCCACTAACATTGCAGTTGCCAAAACCATTGGTCGGCTATGGCTGTGTGAGACAAGGGAAGGAGTGGTGAACTTTGACTTGCCTTCATTAGGCCACTATGCTTTGAAATAAAGGTCATGAGCTATAATCTTCTAAGTGGTCATTTGTCTGACATAGAGACAGTGTTTCCTGCGTACGCAGTGGTGGCGGACTATGAATTGAGCTGGGGCAGAGAAGATGTTGGAAGCCAGGCATGTGAGGCATGTGAGATGATGCAGCCGAGACCTGAACACAAGATACAACCTGACCTTACCCTGAGCAGAGACAGCAGAAACAGACAACAAGCAGCAGAAAATCAAAGATCAAAGGAGTCTCTAGAATAATAATAATAAATAATAAACTATTACTATTGTAATTACTATTATGTATGTTGCTTTAAGGTTTATAAAGTGCTTTTCTCACGACAGACCTGTATAATTGTGATCATATGGGAGGAAGACACAAGCAGTGAAATCCAAGATTACTTAATGAAAATGATATTAATTATAATAATCTATACTTGTACAATACCTTATAGTTAGAAAGATTTTCTAGATATATTATTTTTCTTGACAAAATTCCCATGAAACACATAGCTCTATTTCATAGATGAGGAAAATAATAATAATAATAACAATAATAACAGGTCCTGAAGTCAGGAGTACCTGAGTTCAAATCTGGCCTCAGACCAAACACTTGATACTTACTAGGTGTGCGACCCTGGGCAAGTCACTTAACCCCAACTGCCTAAAAAAATTTTTAAAAAAAGAATTACAAAGTACTTTACAGATATCATCTCATTTTGTCCTCACAACAACCCTGTGAGGTTGCTATTATTATCCTCCTTTAATATAGGAGGAAACTGAGACAGGCAAAGGTTAAGTGATTTATTCAGGGTCTCACAGTCAGTAAGCATCTGAGGCAAGATTTGAACTCAGGTCTTACCATCTCCAGGTCTAGCACTCTATCCACTTCATCACCTAGCTGACAACCAGAAAGTAAAAATGCATTGCAGCAGGGTTAAGTGATTTTCCTAGGTTCACACAACTAATTAATGTAAGATCCAGGATTCAAAAACAGGTTTCATGATTCCAAGTTCATTATTCTTTCCACTATAGCAGACACAGTGCTGTACTTCAAAGAGCTTATGACCTAGTAAAGAAAATAAGACATTACACAAATGTTTAATAATATAAATTAGAAAATAAGGGCAAAAGAGAGGTCAAAGAAAGAAGGATGAGAAGATCAAGGAAAGCATGGCCAGTTGGTGGAATGAGGCAGCCCTTTAAAAACTGTTAATTCAATTTTTCAGTGAAGGAGCCTTTATTTTTTCTCCCTCCCAAATACCATCCAATTGAAAAGACAAAAAAGAAAAACACAACCCTCATGATAAACATGCATAGTCAAAAATCCCCACATTGTGCACGTCAAAAGATCTACGCCTCCTTCTGCCACTTGGGTCAGAGTCTGTAGATGGATAGCATCCTTCATCCTTGCTCTTTTGTACTCAATGTTTGGTCATTGTGTTTTTGATGAGAGTTTTTAGGAGTGTCTTTGGAAAGTGTTTGTTTACAAAGTTGTTATTGTAAAATTATTCTCTTGGTCCCATTCACTTCAATCTGCAACAATTCAGGGAAGGCTCCATGAAGGATATGGGACCTTAATTGAACCTTGAATGAAAGGTAGAATTTAAGTATGTAGAGACAGGATGAGGGAGTCTATTCCAAGAATAGTGTAATGGCACGAGCAGAAAAATTGTGTGTTTGTCTTTCTTTGTATCCCCAGCACTTAGCATACAGTCTGGCACATAGTTGGTGCTTAATAAATGCTTGTTGACTGACTGATTGAGTAAGCCTTTTTCATCTTTCCTAGCACACAGTGCTCTCTTTCTCTTCACGTTATTTTGTAACCAATGTGTAAACTTATTGTAAGATGGGCTGAAGGATTTGCACATTGGTGGATCAATTACCAAGGTATCTGAAAGAGAAGAAACCAAACCATGGGGGAAATTTCAGACATTATTATTATAGAAAAGATTACTGAGAGAACATAAATAACTACTGACCCACATGCTTAATGTCAATCTCTAAATATTTTTATTCAAGATAATCTACATGTGCATCCAAGGCATCCTGGATGAAAGTATAAGAAGAGAACAGGCTGACTTTTGTAAATGATATTCTACAGCAGACAATATTTGTACAGTCATACAATTAACTGAAAGATGTTGAGAATACAAAATCTCTGTATGCATGTTTCTTGGCCTTAAAAATTTGACTCCGTATAGCAAAAAGCCCCTATAAAGGCTCTTCTCCAGTAAAGTGGCTCCTATGCAAATATCAAAATCCTACAAGGGTCCTTGAAAGATGTATCATTGGATATAACTTTTTCCCATAACCCTCTGATAATCAAAATCAAGCAAGGCATAACACAGAAAGGTGCATGCTCATGAGAGGGGTTTGCTACCATCATTTAGGATGTCTAGGGCAGGATACAGATGGAAGAGGGATTCCATATGGATGTTGTAGTTCTCTAGATTTTTCTGAGTGTGGTTGACATTGTGCTGATTGAATCAATCTCCACAAAACTAAAACTTTCATAGTATTTGAGTATATATTAAATCCCCAGAGTATCCTAGAAGCTCATGGGAAATGTAGTTAAACTAACTTTTCCTCAAGAGCACAAACTGCCAGGTATGCTTTTGTTTGCCTTTCACCTGATTAAAGTCTGAAATTGTATTGGTGACCCTTTGGTCTTCTTCATTCATACTTCTTCAAATTATGAGGAAGCAGTCACCTCTTGGCTTGGAGAATTTTAAAGTGTGTCTTTCTTTATCTTTCAGAGTTTGTTTTTGTTTCTGATTCATACTAGATAATCTGAGATTAATTCTTGGTCCAGTAATGATATAGTAATTACATCTGGTTTCCCCTATACTATTTTCCTTTGGAAGAACGCATGCTCTACCTTCTAGGACTTATGCTATCTAGCACATATATTTTATATTTTTTATCCACGCACATATTTATTTCCCTGATAGAACGTAAATAAGAGTTCCTGGATGGCAGTGGCTCTTTTGCTTTTTTTTTTTTGGTTGTCTCTCAGTACTTAGCACATGGTGGGCATTTAATAAACTATTGCTGATTGATTGATAGCACCCCAAATTCTTCTAAGGGGAAAATTCTAATCCACTCTTCCAGAGACTCAGTAAAGAATCACAGAATGAGCTTAGAGATCACCTAGCTAAAGCATCTTCTTTTGTGGGTCTTTTTAAAGCACTTTTCTGGGGCCACTTCCCCCAAATTTCACTCTTATTCACAGATTGAGGTCCCTAAAGGTTCACTTGACTATTACTCAGGGGTAACCCTGAAAGGTTAGGTTTCTAGTACTGTTGCTTATGAGACCCCACCAATCTGCTTTCCACTGACATCAGAAAGCCAGACATCAATTACTTTTTGGGTACTTACTAAGGTAGTATTGTAAGAATACTTGGTACAAACCATCTCCTCAAAGTCTGGGATATACTCTCCTACAGATACACACAGACTCTAGGGGGAAAATGGTCTTAAACACAGGGTACAATAATGATAAGTTTGATTTGTAGAGAACAAAGTGGCCAAAGACTAAAATCACAAGTGGTTACTGGAAGGTCTTTCTTGAGTCCATAACTGACACTCTTCTCTGGGGCAAGAAGTCACACTTCTTAAAGCTGCTCACTAGGCTGGTCCACCACTTTTCTGAACAACTGTGGAAAATTCTCCCACTATTTTAAATCCACAGAATTTGGTTAGCTTATTTAGTTAGCCAATCATGCTATTCCATTCTTTGCCTAATTGAAGAGGAGTAGAGCATGGCATAGGGATCACAAAATGTAGACAATAGAGTTTATTCCTTTATAAAAACCTAACAATGTTCGTTGGTTGATTGATTGATTTAGACAGGGATCCCTTCCATGGATAAAGATATTGAGGTCATGAGAAAAGAAGAGATTTGCTCAAGCTCACATAGCTAGTAAATGGCAGAGCCAAGATTCTAGTTTTCTTTCCATTACACAGAACAGTCCCAACCAAGATCACATAGTCAATCAGCATCAGAGCCCATCACAGAACTCAGGTATTTGTCTCCTCCCCATCCCAATTCAGTACTCTGTACCCTCAGTCACATTCTTCTATTAGGGAAGATTGGTTCTGGCATACCTTCTATGGTATGTAAGTATGGTGGAGGCTGGTGGTCTGGAAGGTAAAGTTTACAAAAACACTGGGGGGGGGTAATTATCTTCGTGAAACATGAAGGGCTCCTCTCTGAGAATCATGAAATGGTTCCAGGAGGGAGGGGGTGAGGACTTAGGTAGGAAGAGGCTCCCTGAGGGAGTATCTTTTATAGCTGAACTAGTTAGATGTAGGATGAATGGAGGGTGGGGGAGACCTATTAAAAAGATGAATGACCCTCTGCTGTCAACAGAGTATGGCCAGGTTGACCCTATGGATCATTTTGTGTCAGATTGCAATGATGAATGAGAAAGAATCCATAAAGCAAATCATGGACTTTCAATTTCACTTTCACCACGGTACAAAAATACAGCTTGTTGTTTTCAATGTTATTTAAGTAAAACTTTGAAATGCTGGGGAAGGAGAGAGATTGAGCTTGTATTTCATTCTGTCTTTGCTTCTCTGCCAAAAAAAACCCCCAAAACCAAAAACAAGCCCCAAAACTCAAAATTACAATGGTCCTTTTTGCTATACATATAGATAAATGAATACAAAGTGACATTATATAGTTATAAGAATGTCAAACATCTGTCCTAGAATCCTGTTCATCCTCCCCAGTAGGATCCCTCAAACCATCTAAGCAACCATATCAGTACAAACAGTTTGACATTTTGGTACCCAGTGATCATGTATAATATTGATATATAAAGCCACCACTGGGAGGTTAAAGTCTTATTCCTACCCAAAGCTCAGGACCAAACTACAAGCACAGCTGTGTACTTACATATTCCACCAAAGACAGCTGGACAGATTGACCCATAAAGTTCCCATGAGTTCTGGGTAGAACTCATGCCCAATCAGTTGAGCAATATGAACTACCTGTCTTACGCACAAGCAGCCTGTTCCTGTCTGCATTACTTAATGTAGACTCTATAAGCAGTTACTCTACACACAGACTGCTCAGTTTCCTCCACTTGCTTGACCCTTTAGGACTTTGGACTATCTTCTTGACATTGTATCAGGGCATTTCACCCTGCATCTCACAGAGGAATTGTTCTGTCCCCATCTCTGGTCAAGGCAATGTCTGCCATCCCCTTGATT